ATCTGCGGGGAGTCAGTGAATCGACGTTCTTCGGGAAGAAGCAAAAACTGAGCAGGGTGCAGAGGACCAGCTGGCTTCCCCCGCCAGGCTCTAACCGTAGGGTCTCTGCTTTCTTCTCTCTTCAGTTGGGAATGTACACGATGGTAACGTGGTGTCTGAACCCTGTCTACGCGCCCAGCCTAGGAGCACTGGTTGTGCCAGCAGCCTCAGCTCTCCACCCACTGCAGACCTGGGACCACCGCCCCCCCCCAACCCCCCCGACCGCCCCCTACCCCCGGTGTTGCAGGCGTTGTTAGTGGTACCTCCGTGCCAAGCACAGGCCGAACAGGCACCTCATGCTGGACCACCTGCCTGGGGAGCTGAGGAGGACTTGGGAGTTTATGTGTTGGATGTCTCAGAACCCCAGGTCACGCTCTGAGCTCCCCCTGAGAGGTGGCTGCCCACACACCAGCAGATGGCCACCTCTATCGTGGTGCTTTGGGGATGAATTCTTCTGCTAACTTTGCATTCCCAGAGGAGTGTGGTGTCATTTCAGAGAAGGCATCACCGACTCCATGGACATGAGTTTGAGCAAACTTTGGGAGATGGTGAAGGACAGGGAAGCCTGGCGTGCCGCAGTCCATGGGGTTGCAGAGAGCCGGACACGACTGAGCGACTGAATAACGCTTTTTTGAGACGGCTGCTCGCTGCTTCCCATAATGGTCACTCTAATTCACATGCCCACTAAGACTGCACAGGGGCTCCCTTTTCCCACGTTCTCACTGACACTTGTTTTCTTTTGAAAATCACAGCCATCCTTGGGACTTCGCTGGTGGCCCAGTGGCTAAGAGCACGCTCCCAATGCAGGGGGCCCTGGTTCCATCCCTGCTCAGGGAACTAGATCCCACACACCAACTAAGACCTGGAGCAGTCAAATCAATACATAAAAATGTGCATGACTGTGACCATCCCACCAGGTGTGAGGGGATGCCGCACTGTGGTCAATCTGCCTTTCCCCGCTCGTCAGCGATGCCGAGAGTGTTCTCGTGTAGAGCATGTTTGAGGAAGGCCTCTCCCAGTGTTTCACTCCAGTTGGGCTCTTGGGCTTGTCTTTGCTGAGCCCTTGGCGCTCTCTGTATGTCTGGACAGTGACACTCCATCAGATACGTGACTCTCGAACACTTGCTCTCCTTCCGCGGGTTCTGTTGTCCCCGTTGAACATGTCCTGCGATGGACTGGGGTGTCGTTTGATGTCGTCCCGTGGTCTGATTTTTGTTAAGCAGGTGCCTGTGGGACCCTACGCCCAAGAGGCTCCCCTCCGTCCGCTGACACGTGGCCGAGCTGGGTCACGCTCTCATCACAGGGCCCAGCTTTCTGGGCCAGAGCGTGGAGAGTGGCAGGAAGTCAGGCACTGTCTGCTTCTTTCACAGCAGCAGAAAGATGCCAGAGTCTTCCTCTGCGCTCTTGTCATGTGCTGAAGTGTCCCCCTCCCCCGCCAAGTTCATATATCCTAACAGTGTCTCAGAATGTGCCTGTATTTGGAGATGCAGCTTTAAAGACATGATTAAGTTAAAATGAGGACTTCCCAGGTGGCGCTCATGGTAAAGAACCCGCCTGCCAGTGCAGGAGACATAAGAGATGCAGGTTCGATCCCTGGGTCGGGACGATTCCCCTGTGGGAGGGCAGGGCAACCCATTCCAGTATTATTGCCTGGAGAAGCCCCACGGACAGAGGAGCCTGGCGGGCTGCAGTCCATGGGGTCACAAAGAGTTGGGCATGACTGAAGTGACTTAGCAGACCAGTAAAATAAAGTGAGTTCATCAGGGTGGGGTCTAATGCAGCCTGACCGGCATCCTTACGTGCAGGACTCAGACACATAGGGGTCTGCCCACGTGAGGTTGCAGCGCAAAGGCGGCTGTCTGCACGCCCGGGGGGAGGAGTGATCAGGAGGCGCCGTCCCCACCGACACCTCGCCCTCGGCCACCCCTGCTGTGCCAGCCCCGTTGACTGGTGTGGCGCCGGCTCACAGCGGCCGCCTCCCACCCTATCTCCTGTCAGTGCTCCCCTCGACGGTGCCCATGGCCGGCTTGTGGCTCTGGCAGGTGCCCGGGGGCCAGGAGCCTGTGTCCAGCCGTGAACCGCGGACAGTACCGGCCTCCTTGGCTTGCCGCTCGGAGCCCTGTTTCCCGGAGCCCTTGGCCGCAGCCCAGCTTTATGTTCCAAATAGGAAAAGGCGGGTGATTTAGAGGCTCAGCCGTCATTAGGCGTTACCTTGATTTATGTAAAAATAATATTCACTGGTTGAATAACAATGGCCCGGCGTTCACCTGCGGCCTGGGAGCCTCATAAAATGGGCGCATTCATCTCCATTGCGATGACATCAATTTGTACCAGCCGTTCTTCCAGAGAAATGTGTCATGTTGTTCCAAGTGTACCTTCACTTGGTCGTGTTAAGTGGTTCCAACAGACCGGAGTGTATATTTTCTCTAGGGAAACTCTTGTCTATTATTTCAGCTGAAAACATTCCTTGCACACAATGACTAATCAGGACTGCAGATCAGCGCTGGCCGGGCCGGCCCACCTGCTGCCCCCAGCCGGGGGGTGGGCGCCCAGGTTCCGCTGGCCTGGTGGTGCTGGGAGGAAGCAGGCGGGGGGCCGTTCCTGTTTCCTTTCCCTGGAACTCAAGGGTATTTTGTCAGCCTTTCCCCCACTTGACTCGGGAGGGTCTGGCATGCGGGCTCACATGCTGCCGCGAAGGGCTGGCTCCCGGGCGGCCGCTCCCAGGGGTGACCTCATGTGAGGGGAGCCAGTGCTGGCTGTTGCTCCCTTTCTTCTCGTTTCCCGAGGGAAGGCTAATCTCCAGGAACACAGAGCCTCTGGAGGCCCGTGAAGCCGGGCCCAGGAGGAGCGGGATTGTTTCATTGTTGCCGCCCCGAAGCAGAGTTTGTTTTCCTAGCGGTTCTCTTCCCTTCAGGAAAGCGCTGGCCTGCGAGCCCCGATGGGTTATTCTTGCGCCCCTGGCCCCGGCTTTCCCCCCATTGTTCCCGCTGCCTTTTATCGCCGAGATCTCCGTCAAGCTCAATGCCCTTCTGGGTCCTATGCTGGTTCCCGCTGCTGGGATGCCCGCCCGCCGGTTCCCTGGGCTCTGAGGGCGAACGCGCAGGGCCCGGTCACCACTTCTGGGGTTGTGACCCGTCCTGAATGGCCCCGAAACCCGCCCGAGGCGTCGGCAGGACGCTCAGCTGTGTCGATGGCTTGGCGTCCCCCAGCCCAGCATCCGGGCGGCTCCCGCCTCGGGTGAAAGCCCGCAGTGGCCACCTCGATGTTAGGGCTGGAGGGTCAGTAGAAGCGGCAGAGGCCCCTTCCTGACTGACCGCCGGGGTGACTGACTGTGACCCTACGGCTTGGCCGAGTCACCCCCTTCCCCGAGCCGCCCTGGAATCTGCTTGTCAGTTCCCGAGATCAGCCTCCGGGATGTGGGGACCATCCAGCATGTGGCCCACAGGAGCCTCTCCCCGCACTGAGGACGGGGGGCTGGCCCATCCTGGAGGTGCTGGCTCTGCAGGCCCCTTGAGTGAGGCCGCAGGACGCCGAGAAGGGAGGGGCGCTCAGAGTGTCACCTCCGAGCTAAAGAACACCGGCACACAGTGCGCGTAGCAGCAGCACTCACAGTGGCCAAAGCGCGGACGCGACTGAGCATCACTGACAGATGAGTGGGCGAAGTGTGGTACGCACAGTGGGACACGGCTCGCGCACGAAAGCAGTGCAGTGATGCCACAGGCGGGATCGCGCCAGAGGCGACCACACGAGGTGAAGTGAGTCAGAGAAAGACAGCCACTACGTGCGGCCACTTACATGCAAATGTAAAATACCACACAGATGAACACGTCTACGAAAGAGGAACAGACTCGAGACGTGGACCACACGCTTGTGGTTGCTAAGGGGGAGGGAGGTGACAGAGGGAAGGACTGGGAGTCAGGAATCAGCAGAGGCAAACGTGTCCTGGCCGTCTGAGTGCAGGGTTGGAAAAGAATTTCCAGACACACAGGATTTCAGAAGGGAGTAAGTTTATTCAGAGCAAAGAGCAGAAATAATGAGTGCAGCCGGCCGGGAGAGCCAACGCTTTTCGCGGGTTGTGTGTGTGACAGTGTTAGTCACTCAGTTGTGTCCGACTCTGCAACCCCGTGGACTGTAGCCCGCCAGGCTCCTCTGTCCGTGGGACTCTCCAGGCAAGAGCGCTGGAGCGGGTCGCCACGCCCTCCTTCAGGAGATCTTCGAAATCCAGGGATCCAACCTGGGTCTCCTGTTTGCAGGTGGATTCTTTACCGCCTGAGCCACCCGGGGAGCCCCGACCTTGATGTGGGGCTCCACAAAACCATTACATACGAGATGGTAAACACAGGGTCCTACCACAGAGCCCAGGGATCTGCAATATATTCAATATCTTGTGATAAACCATAATGGATAAGGATATTTTAAAAAGAATTGTCAGTATGTGTGTAACAGAGTCACTTTACTGTAGAGCAGAGATTGGCACAATATTGTAAATCGACGATAAAGTGAGAAATAGTGAAAGTGGAGTCGCTCAGTCGTATCCGACTCTTTGCGACCCCACGGACTGGGGCCCACCAGGCTCCTCCGTCCATGGGATTTTCCAGGCAAGAGTACTGGAGTGGGGTGCCATTTCCTTCTGCAGGGGATCTTCCTGACTCAGGGATCGAACCCCGGTCTCCCGCACTGCAGGCAGACGCTTTGCTGTCTGAGCCACCAGGGACAATTTTTTTTAATTAAAAACAAACAAACAAAAAAAAAGGACGAAGGTGTCATGTGCTGTTGGCTGAGCTGGTCTGGCCCGGTGGGCGGGCGCGCACTGCCCTCTAGTGGTGACCCGCGGCGGGCCGCGCCGGCTTTCTGGGAAGCTGGTGACTCCGGGGCCACCCACCCACCAGTGGGCATTACCCGCTGTCTCAGCTCCACACATGCTTGCGCGTGTTCTGTGTCCCGTGCTGCGGGCGGATCGGATGAAGGACACAGCGTTACGGGCTGTGTTGAGTCCTCTGGATAGTCATCCGTGCCGCCCCCGCCCCGGACGCCCAGCACGACGGCCCTTGGAGTCGAACGAGGTCCTCAGGCCGGGCCCTGATCCCGTGTGGCTGGTTCTGTGGCTGAGAAGAGCGAGGAGGACCCAGACGCACACGGGGACGACCATGCGGCGGACACGCGAGAAGGCGCGTCTCACGAGGGGCCGGTCATCTTCAGGACTTCACCCCAGACCCATGTCCTTGGGGGCTGGTCTGCGCCGTGGCCCCTTTGGTGCTGGGCCTGAAATCCAGGCCTGCCCACCCCTGGCCCCACGCTCAGGTCAGGCGCTGCTCTGCACCCTGGGAGTGTCCGAGGACTCCCCCTGCTCTGGGCTCTGGTGAGGGCACCCCCATAGGGCCTCTCCCCTTCCCCTGGCCGGCCCACCACGCACCTAGGGCTTGCCCAGCCCTGCCGGCCAGGAGCTGCCTGGGGCCAAGCCCCACCCACGTGGCTCTCTCCCCCTGGAGCAGGCCCGAGAAAGCCCACAGGCCCCCGAGCAAGGCTGGTCCTCAGCTCAGGTGAAATCAAATCTCATCAGGCAAGCCTGGGGGATCTGTCTTCACAATACATAGAGAACTTCTACAACTCAGGAATAAGAAGAGAAACAACTCAATTTAAACACAGGTGAAGGACTTGAACAGAGGTTTCTCCAAAGATACAAAAATGGCCAATAGGCACATGAAAAGATGGCCCACGTCATTAACCATCAGGGAGACGCAAGGCAGAACCCCAGTGAGATGGCACTTCACACCCACCAGGACGGCTTTAGTCGAAAAGATACACAGTGATGAGTGTTAACGAGAATGTTGGGACACGGGAACCCTCACACACCACCAGTAGGGATGTAAAACAGCACAGCTGCTGTGGAAAGCAATCAGACAGCTACTCAAAAAGTTAAACACAGTTACTGTGAAATCCAGCAATTCCACACCCAAGCACACACCCAAGAAAACTGGAAATGTGACCACTCACACACACTTGTACACAAATGTGCATGCCTTGTTCCTGACAGCCCAGAATGGAAATGATGCAAATGTCCACCGACAGAAATGTGAGTAAACGAAGTGTCACATATATATGTGTAATGTATGTGCGTATACACGCATACAATGGCATATTCGTCAGTCATATAAAGGCACAAAGTCCTGATTCACGGGGCAACACGGGCAAACCTTGCGACTCTGATGCTGAGTGGGAAGAAGTCAGGCACTAAAGGCCTTATATTTCCTCCTATCGGCCTGTGTTTCCGTTTACGTGAATGAGAAGGGGCTGGGGGAGGGGGGAGGGGGAGATGGCAAGTGAATGAGAAGAAGGGGCTGGGGGAGGGGGATGGGGAGTGCCAGCTGTGGGCACGGAGCTTTTTGGGAGGTGATGAAGATACTTTGGAGTTGGGTGGTTTATGGGTACTGCATAACTTTAAAAATATACCTGCTGTTTAATTATTCAGGCGTGTCTGACTCTTGCAACCCCATGGCCTATATAGCCCACCAGGCTCCTCTGTTCATGGGGATTCTCCAGGCAAGAATAGGGAGTGGGCGGCCATGGCCTCCCCCAGGGGATCTTCCCCACCCAGGCATTGAACTCATGTCTCTAATGTCTCCTGCATTATTGGCAGGTGGGTTCACCATTAGAGCTGCCTGGGAAGCCCAATAAAAGATCAGTAACATAAAAATCACTTTGGCTAAAATAGTTTGTATTTCTTTCCAAACTCTTCTTCCAGAGTAAAATAAGCGTCTTTCTGGTTATGAGCAGGTTCTGCGGGAGTGTATCTGTTCCCTTCCGCATGGCCCAGAAGGAGCCACACGAGGGCGCTGTGGCCCTCACTGTGCTCAGGGCTGAGGCTGTGCGGCCTGGTCCCCAAGCCAGCTGCAGTTGGGACCTGGAATCCTTGTACCTCAAGGCAGAGGGCGCCCGGCGAACCCTCGGGGAGAAGACGGGGTGAGCTGACTGGGTGGCTGAAAGGAATCGTGCTTCCCTGTGTTTTATGTTGTCAGATGTGATGGGGGGTATGGTGGTCATATTTTAGAATTCTCAGCTTTTAATATCTCCCAGAATATTTAAGAGTAAAAATGTGTCTAGTCCATGCTGGAAAATACTTTAGCAGAGGGCGTGAAAGAGATGAAGCAGATATGACCAAGTGTTAATAGTTTAAAATTTTAACTGATGGGTGTCACTGTTGTCGTTTAGCCACTGAATCACGTCCAACTCTTTCTCCCCATGGACTGTAGCCTGCCAGGCTCCTCTGTCCATGGGATCTCCCAGGCAAGAATACTGGAGTGGGTTGCCATTTCCTTATTCAACATGTATCTAAGATCTTTATCTACGTGTCTATATCTGTCTGTGGATGAGATAATATTAAATGAAACCCTATATATCCATCAATTGATGAGTACATGGGGGTCCATTTAATATTATTTTACTATAATATTATCTCTTGCATAGATAGGTGGTGCTCGTGGTAAAGAAGCTTCCTGCCAACGCAGGAGATGGAGGGTTCGATCCCTGAGTCGGGAAGATTCCCTGGAGGAAGAAATGACAACCCACTCCAGTGTTCTTGCCTGGAGAATCCCACGGACAGAGGAGCCTGGTGGGATACAATCCACAGGTCCCCAAGAGTCAGACACGGCTGAGTGACTAACACTTTGACTTTTTCATAGATTGTTGAGGTGAACACACACAGAACATCATCCCCCAGATGCTTTGTCCAGTGGCCAGGGGTGACAGCTAAGCTGGTGATGGGCTGTGAATGGGGGTTTCAGTGGTGACCACGTGGGGACCCTCTCAGAAGGGGACTGGTGGAGTGCCCGAGGTGGGCAGGTCGAGTGTGTCTGGGGGACCGGGATCCGTCAGTACCCAGCCCGGCAGGACGGCTTATTCACCCCCTGTGCGATGCAGTCACGTCTCGCAGCGCGGCTGGTAGGAGGACCTACTTGGTGTTTGGTCAGCCACCTCCCCCAGGCGAAGACAGGTCGGGCAGGTTGCTGGGTGGCCTGGCCTGGGACACAGCCCTCCCTGGAGAGGCTCGGTTACCTGATGAACAGGTGAAGGGGCAGAGAACCACTGGGGATTTCCAGTTTCTTCTTCATGCTTTCCTTTTAAGTTTTCTACAGAGACATTTTATACTAAAAAAAATAAGCGAATTACACTAAAACTACGTGACATTGTGAATCAGCTATACCCCAATATAAAATTTAAAAACCTAAATAATAGTAAGTGTTACTTTCAAAAACCAATGTGTGTGGAGCGGTAGGAGCATCCACTTGCGGCTGGTGGGAATGGAAATTGGCCTGGTCGTGTAGGACCGTTAGGCAGGGCCTGGCACAGCTGGACACATTCCTACTCTGCGATCCGCAGGCGTGCTCCTTGGTATTTATTTACTCAGAGGAGCTGGAAATGTCTATCCACGCAACTATTTGCATGTGGGTATGTGTCGCTGTTGCTTTATGTATAATTGCCCAAATTTGGAAGCACCGTTCCAGGAGGTAAACGGATAAAGAAACCACACAGACAGACAATGGAATATTATTCCGCACTAAAAATAAATGAGCTATCAAACCATGAAAGGAGGGACTTCCCTGGTGGCCCAGTGGTTAAAACTTCGGCTTCCAGTGCAGGGGGTACTGGTTTGATCCCTGGTTGGAGAGCTAAGATCCCATATGCCTCCTGGCCAGAAAATGAAAGCATAAACGATATTGTAATAAATTCAATAAAAGCTTTAAAAATGGTCCACATCAAGAAAAAAAAAAAACTAAGAAAAAAAAGAAACATGAAAAGACATAGAAGGGCCTTAAATGCAAATTGCTGAGTGGAAGAAACCACTCTATAAAGGCTGCACCCTGTGAATGCCAGTATACGACGTTCTGGAGAAGACAAGACTACGGAGACAGTGAAATGACCGGTGGTTTCTAGGGGTTGGAGGAGGGAGGGCTGAATAGGGGAGAAGGGGGGTTGTTCAGGGCAGAGACTGCTCCGCACGGTGTTGTAGTGGGGCACGGCCATCACACTGCTGTCCCCCTGTGGCGTGGGCAGGAGCGACCCCGAGGCAGACCGAGGACCCTGTGTGAGGCCGACATGTCGGTGGGGGCTTGTCGATTATCGCGACGTGCTGCTGGCGGGGAGGGGGCGTGGGAAACCGCTCTGCTTCCTGCTCAGTCGTGCTGTGACCCTCAGCTGCTCTAAAAATAAGCTCTATTAAAGCGTTTTAAAAATAAAAGTGAATGTGAGCCCACAGAGGCTGGGTCTCAGTGCAGCGGCGGCTCCAGGCCCAGCGCGAGGGCCTTGGGGGCCCTGGGCGTGGGCAAAGTCCACTCCCGGGCCCCGCCCCGCGGCGGGACCCCTTGGTCCCACAGCGTGTTTGAGTCTTGAGTGTTTTTCTTGGCTTGGATGAACAGGGTAGGTTGCACTCTTTGTCAGTTTTGGAATTGAAGGTATTTTTAAGAAACGCAGCCAGGATCGTGGGAACATCCTGAAGCCGTCGGCGTGTCTGGAGTCTGCAGTCAGCCCCCTTCCGCCCCGTCTAAGCTCCCCGCTCAGCCTCTGTCCTCCAGCCTCCTCCCCCACCTCAACGCGGACTGCAGCTCAACGCCTGTCCTGTCTGGAGCCTGCAGGCGGCCCTGTCCCGCGCCCCAGCTCCCCCTCCGCCTGCACCCCCACACCCTGGGCAGCTCAGTGGACGTCATTCATTTAGGTTTCAAACTCAGGCGTGGACAGTCGAGGAGACTGCCTGCGCCCCCCTCACCCCGGACCACGGTCACTTCTTTCTTCTGATCGTGACCTGTGCCAGCAGAGTGGACAGTTGAAGGGGCCAGGCCGCCTGGCGTGTTCCAGGCCACTCCTGGCCCCCACCCCCACCCCCATGAGTTAATTGCAGCTCTAGTTGAGAACAAGCTGAACAAACCTGAACCCACCTCAGGAGCCATTAAATGAGGAAACGGGTGCTCCCTGGTGGCCCGGTGGTTAGGACTCCCCACCCCCACTGCAGGGGGCCCAGGTTCAGTCCCTGGTCTGGGAACTCAGATCCTGCTAAGGAAGGCAAATTAGTAATTTCTGCTTTGTAATGAACTCAGCGTCTCAAACAGCAGTGTCCTCAAGTCAGGGACCTCTCTGGTCAACGCCTCTCTTGAGTCACCATCGAGGTGTCGGTCGGGCTGTGGTCTCTTTGGAAGGCCCCACCAGGAAGCAAAGGTCCTCCATGGACTCTGCTCCACAGATGTAAGATAAAACTTTCCAAAAATTAGTTGTATTCTCTATATGTTAGAATGAAACACACAGGCTTCCTGAGTGGCTCAGCGGTCCACCTGCAATGTAGGAGATGAGGGTTCCATCCCTGGGTTGGGAAAATCCCCTGGAGGAGGGCATGGCTACCCACTCCAATATTTTTGCAGGGACAATCCCATGGACCGAGGAGCCTGGCGGGCTACAGTCCATGGGGTCGCAAAAGTCGGACATGACTGCAGCAACTGAGCATGCTCCCCCAGAAATAGGCACATACCATTTGAAATTCTTCACAAAATGAGATACATGAAAATCTAACACAACACGCACAGCACATGGACACAGAAGACTGCACAGGGCTGATGGAAGAAGCAAGGAGTGGGTTATCGGTGAGCACAGCCACCTGGATGAGTCACCAGGGAAATGTGCGGAAAACAATCCTAAAAGGTCGGGTGCCGCCGGCAGACCTCGAAGGGACTGGGGGTTTGGTTCCAGACCATGGAAGTAGTGAACACAGCGACAAAGTATGTCACACGGAGTTTTTGTTTCCCCAGTGCAAATAAAAGTGGTGTTTACACCAGACTGTAGTCTATTACGTATGCAACAGCATTATGTCTCTTAAAAAAATTTCCAGGCCTTAATTCAAGATTATTGCTGAAAACTTCTAACCATCATCTGAGCCTTCAGTGAGTCAAAGTAGCAACATCACAGATCACTGACCACAGATCACCCTGCAAATACAGTAACGATGAGAAAGTTTGAAATATGGTGAGAATTACCAAAACGTGACACAAAGACATGAAATGAGGAAGTGCTGTTGGAAAAATGGCCCAATAGACTTAATCTACTCCGGGTTGCCACAAACCTTCAGTTTGTGAAAAATCAAAAAAAAAAAAACAAAACCCGCTGTATCTGTGAAGCTAATAAATCAAGGTGTGCCTGCATACAAGTCCATTTTCATTCATATAACTGTTGAAATGAAAAAAAATTATGAGAATAGAGAGCCAATTAGTGGTTGCAGGAGGTAGGGAGGGGGTGGGGCAGGAGGAAGTGGGCGTGGCTAAGAAGAAACAGCACGTGTCCCTCTAGGCGGAGACGTCACCGCAGTTCTGCAAAATGTAACCGCTGGAGGAGCTGAGCGAAGGCCACCAGGGCTGGCGCCAGGGGCGGGGCCGCTCAGGGGTCCTCACTTTGCTGGGGGCGCTGTCGGGCCAGCCGCCTGCTGGCGTCCCTCTTCTGCTCTTGGTGCAGGCCGGGCTCCCTATGGGCTCACAGTTGCCAAAGACGTGCATTGCACCACAGCGCCGCGGCCTCCACCCGCTTGGGGAGCAGGGCCCCAAGACCTGCTGAGGATGGGACGTGGTCCCCGAATCCCCTCCCGCGCTCGCGACACCCCTGTCCAGAGACCACCCGCCCCCACTCCGGCCCGTGTGCTGGGTGGACGGTGTGGGGGCCGGCGGGGGACACGTGGGCCGGGAGGAGGGCGGAGGAGCGGGGCTTTGTGCCCGCCGGACCCTCTCGCCTGCAGTTTGCCGTTCGGTTTGTGGCCACAGCCGGGAGTGTGGAAACCGCAGTGGGGCGGGCTCCAGCGGCGAGGCCGCAGGGTTGCTTCACCTCCTTGTCCTCACTCCGCGTCTCGCCATCCTTCCGGCCTGCCCGGCTTCCCCATCCCCTCCCGAGGACCCCGCCCTCCGCCACCTCCTGCCTCTGGGGATCTGGATGCCTGCTGACCGCCCCACCCTACTCCCCCAGAACACCGGCCTGGCCATGCCGCCCCAAAACCACCCTGGTGGTGTCTCAACGCGTTGCAGTGGGGCCCTGGACCCCTCCAGACCAGCTCCCCCGACCCCACCTGGCAGCTCAGGGCTGGGACTTGGTGCCGGCTCCAGCCCTAGGCCACTGGCCCTCCAGCCTGCCCATCTTCCTGGCTCGCAGGCCACATGCTATGTCCTGACCATGACCTGACTCCCACCCCTCCCTTTTTGGGGGAAGGATTTGCAGGCCTGTCTGATCCCAGCTTCCCAGGTGACTCGGTTAAGAACCCACCTCCCAAGGCAGGAGACATGTGTTTGATCCCTGGGTCAGGAAAATCCCCTGGAGAAAGAAATGGCAACCCACTCCAGTAGTCTTGCCCGGGAAATCCTATGGACCGAAGAGCCTGGTGGGCTACAGTCCATGGGGTCCCAAGAGTCAGACACGACTGAGACTGAACCATCAGCTTATCCCGCAGAACAGAGCCTTCCAGCACCCCCTACCCCCAGGCTACTGCGCAGTGATTCCGGATTGTTCCAGGCTCAGGATGCCTGCTGACGAGGATGACTGTCCACATGTCTTCCCACTGCTGGATGTGAGCTTCAGGGCCCATTCCCAGAGGGGGCCTCAGGTCCCAGGGGAAAGGGATGTCCCGCCTCCTCAGATGCCACCTGACCAGCCTGGGCTGCCCCGACGTGTGAGTGTGTGAGCCCAGCCTGTCCCCGCCTCTGGCCTGAGCGGCCCACCTTGCATGGCCACTTGCTTGGTCTCTCCCTGGCGTGAGTGTGTGTGAGCGTGTGTGAGTGTATCTGTGGCCCGTTCTCGTATGTGCATTTTGCACAGTCTCCTGTCTCCCCACCTGGCTTGTTGAGCATCCTTAAATGTTCTGAATGTTGGCACATTAGCCCCTGGGTGTGCCCCGTCATATTCATCTCTCCCGCTCCCTTTTACAGTGGGCGGGGATGCGATTTTATGTCATTGAATCTGTGTCTTCTATCATATGTAGAGTTTCAACTCCTCACGCCCCGTCTGTGAAGGAATTGGCCTGGATTTCAGAGTTCAGTGCTTCTGTGGTTTCACTTGTCAATGTTGACGTTTGCTCCTTTGCAATTTCGTTTCGTAACGGTGTGAGGTGTGCAGCCCACGTTCCCTGTTTCTATGTGACCCCCCGGCTGTGTCCCCGTGTCATTTTATCTTCAGAAAGCCCACCGCTCCCCTACCTTCGTCATATACTGAATCTCCAGATGAGCTTGGGTCTGCTCCTGAAGTTTCTATCAATGCAAGTCACATTCGTAATGTGAAATTTTCTAGGAACCACAGTAAAAAAATAAATAAAGAGAAACAGGTGAGACTAATTTTAATTTCTTTAAAATTTATTTTTACTCACTTGGCTGTACCAGGTCTCGGTTGCTGCCTGTGGGGTCTGGTTCCCCGACCAGGGATCAAACCCAGGCCCCCTGCATTGGGAGCACAGAGTCTTAGCCTCTGGACCACCAGGGAAGTCCCTGACTTTAATATTTTTACCTGAATCTACCCAAACATCGCTTGAGGTGCGGTTGGTATAGGCACGTGATTACTGGTGCGTCGGCCGCTTTTGGTCAGGAGACTGGGCACGTGCGGCCCTCCATCAGGACATCACATCCCAGGGCCAGCAGTCGTTCGGACACGTGCCAGCCTGTCCCCTCTGCCTGTCTGCTCGGGGCTGCCTTCGCTGCGGTCATGGTACGGGTGCCCAGGGTGCATCTGTCCGGCAGGGCCTTCTCCTCACCCAGCTGGGGCTACCTTGGCAGAGAACAGTCTCCCCTCCAGCAGGAACTGTCCTTTGGGGGCAGCTGGCATTTTGGTGAGAAAACACAAGAAATCCTTGTTTGTTCGGGAACTTGGCCTAGGAGAATTTGTCTCTCTCATTTTGCTGATTGGAGGTCTGTTCATCTGCCAGGGATTGGGAGACGATTCTTCACTGAATATGAAATTTTCTTCTGCTTCTACCAACCAGCTTTGACATAGCTTCTTAGGAAATGTGACAAACTGTGAAAATAAAAATAGAAACCAGTGCTACACCTTCTTATTGCTGCCTCATTTGCTGAGTGCCCAGCTCCTCCGGCAGCAGGGATGTGGATTCTGAAGGAAACGGGCTGTGTTTCCTTTCGGGACTCTGTGCGTGCGCTCCCATCTCTGGCTTCACGCTCAGTAGCTGTAATTGCTTTTCCGCAAACCTGGCTTTTTCTGTTTGCCCCATGTCACTCTTTCCACCCAAGGGCGATCCTTGCCGGTGAGTCGTGCCCAGCCGAGCCACAGACGGGCCTTCCGGGCGGGACTCTGTGCTCTGGGCCCGGAGTCCGCCTGGGGAGGCCTGGCGCTTCCTGCCGGGATTCCAGACTCTGGGCTGGCCGCTGGGGCGACCGCACGACGGCTGGCCCTCAGTGCAAGGGGGGCCAGGAGCCCAGCAGGCGGGGCTGGGGACACCATTAGTCAGCCGTTAGTCAGCCCGCTCAGAACGGGCCCTGCAGGTTCTCAGGTTCTCACGGGGCGCGGGGCAGGGCTGAGGCGTCTGCACAGAAGCCGGTCAAGGGCAGGGCTGCCCGCCTCTCCCTGCCCAGCAGACGCCCCTCACTGGGTGGGGCTGCCCGCCCCGGGGTTCCTGCACTTTCCTCAGCTTGGCCTACGAAGGCAGCCCTAACCCGACCTCAAGCCTGACCATGACCCTGACCCTAACCCTTAAACCTAACCCTAACTCCTAGCCTGACCCTAACTGAGTCCCAGGATGCTTCCAGAAAGTTTTCGAGAGGAGACTCCCTCCCGTCGCCCGCTGAGCGACAGCTCCTGGGTGTCCCACGGGGTGCCTTAGGCCCCTCCTTTCGGGAGCTTCATGCGTGTAAGCACACATGTGTGTGCAGAAGTGCATCTTCTCCAGGGCTGCCTTCCGCACACGGAGCAGCATTCTGCCCACAGGCGGCGGCTTTTGTTTCATTGTTATTATGATTAGACCACATTGTGAGCTCTGCTCTCTTAAAAAGTGTCCACAGTTATGTTAACTCCGGGGGCTTCATACAGCAGATCCTCGAGCAAAACTGAGACTTTATACTGGACTATTTTTATTACTTATGTTCAAAAGGAATTACAGTAAGATGTATGTAACATGGGCTTCCCAGGTGGCTCGGTAATGAATCCGCCTGCAATGCAAGAGACTCGGCTTCAATCCCTGGGTTGGGAAGATTCCCTTGGAGTAGGGAATGGCACCCCACTCCAGTATTCCTGCCCGGAGAGTCCCATGGACACAGGAACCTGGTGGACAGTAGTCCATGGGGGTCTCAGAGAGCTGGACATAGCTGCACACACATCATGACACAAAGTTCACCGTTTTAACCACTTCTGAGTGCAGGCTTCGGCGGCATTGAGTCCATTCACATTGTTGTGCAACCCTTCCCACCATTATCTCCAGAACTTTCCCTCTTCCCAAACTGATGCTCTGTCCTCCCCCCAACCCCGGCCCCCACTGTCTACTTCCCGTTTCTGTGAAGCTAACGACCCCGGGACCTTGTGCAGGATTTGTCCTGGGTCTGCCCTTTCCACCGGGCATCGGGTCCTCAGGGCTCATCCTCGTCGCAGCCTGAGTCACGCGTCCTTTCCTGCGGAGGCGCACCATGTCCCACTGCAAGCCCTGCCCGCAGAGACCCACGGTGCTCCTGATGGGGCCTGGAGGGCCAGGAGCAGGGGGCCACCGAAGCTGCAGGAAGAGCTGTCGGGAGCCGACTCTCCGTGGCACTAGGGGGTGTACTGGGTGTGGCCGGGTGTCCTCCTCTCCCCAGGCCAGCCCATCCTCATTCCACACACAGTGGCCACAGCCCTGCCCTGGTGCCTCCTCCCTCCCGGATGGAGCAGACGGATAATGAGCCCAGGCGATCAGGGAAGCAGAGTGACCTCAGGGTCCAGGGACTCCACTCCCTGGACACCTAACTCCACTGGGGCGAAAACGTGTGTCCACACAGGGATTTGTCCCGACTGCTCACACCAGCCTGTGCACGTAGACGAAAGATGGAAACCATCCACGGGCCATCGACACACGGGCGGATAACACGTGGCCCATTCAGTCAGTGGAACAAAGTTCCGACACAGGCTGCCACGTGGCGGTCCCCGCGAGCTGGTTCTCAGACAGGGCTACGTATTGTGTGATTCTGTCTATAGTCAACGTCCAGAGCGCGCAGATGTGCAGACCGGTGAGGACCAGGGCCCGGCGGGGGGTGCCCGTGAACGGGTTTCCTCTGGGTGGTGGAGGCACAGCTTTGGAAGGTCCTGAAGCCCTCGGAATGGCACCCTGTGTCAGGGAGGTCTCCTGGCCTGTGAGCTATGCCCCCATAGGACGCCTTCTTGTCGTGCTTGTGGCAGTGGCTCCTCAGCCCTGTGCACGCCCTGGAAACCTCTGAACGCACAGGCAAGGCGGTGAGTTGTGTGGTGACGACCTGTCTCAATAAAGCGCGTGGCCAGGGCCCCGGGGCGAGCTTGGTGTTTCTGAAGGGAGGAGAGGCAGCCTGTCGGCTGGGGTTGGCATGGGAGCCGGGGCTCAGCTCCTGGGTGGGGCTGTGCCCAAGGCGAGGGTGCAGCTTGAGATCTGAACCACATGGGGGTCTCAGGGGGCCCCCCTGTGGAGGTGGGGCCAGTGTGGGCCAGACCCAGGTCCAAGCCCGAGAGGCACAGACCAGGTGGCTTTGGGTGGTGTCGTGGGCTAAGCCGTGTCCCCCAGTTCATGTGTTGAAGCCCCAAGCCCAGTGCTCAGCGCGTGACCGTATTTGCAGACGGGCCTTGAAAGAGGTGGCTGAGTGAAAAGAGGTCACTAGGGTGGGGCCGCGACCCAACAGAACCGGGGACCTTTTGAGACAGGAGGTCGGGACACAGACACGCAGAGGTGAGGATGCTGGGAGGTCACGGTGGACATCCGCCAAGGAGAAGGGACGTCCCCAGCCTCAGGCTTGCAGCCCCCAGATCGTGGGGAGGGGACTCCTGCCGCCAAAGTTCGGGGAGGGTGCTAGGTGCTGGGAGAGCCCCGTGAGGAACCGTGGGTGTATTTCTGGAGCAGAATCCGCGCTGGCCGTGGAGCGAGAGGGGAGGGGACGACCAGAGTGGTTCGGGATTCAGATCCGAGCCGCTGGTGGGTGGGGACCCCGCATGCTAGACGGTAAACTGGGCTGCAGTAGAGTGGTCCGCTGGGGGCCGCC